TTGAGAGAGAGAATGAGAGAGAGCACATGAGAGGGGGGAGGATCAGAGGGAGAAGCAGACCCCCTGCTAAGCAAGGAGCCCGATATGGGACTCGATCCCGGGACTCCAGGATCATGACCCGAGCCGAAGGCAGTCGCTTAACCAACTGAGCCACCCAGGCGCCCAAAAAGGCAATCTTTTGACACTGATGTCACCGAGCATAAACTGGTACAACCTTATGGAATATACTATGCATTGTTTTACATGCTTAAATCCTTTGAAATTCTACTTTTGGAAATGTATTCTACCACACTTCAGGTGGGTGCAAGTAACAGGGAGTCAGTACTGGTATACAGCATGACTAGAAACCTAAACACCCCCCTCCCAGGAACTGGATAATTTGGAAGTCTTACAGCAACGGAAATTTGTACATGTTGCTGGAAAACCACCCTTGAAATAGGGAAAGTATGAATATGCTTTTTTCCCAATTTTTACTGTGGTGAAATACATATAAAAGTTACCAACTTAAAAAGAAGATTTATTTACTTGACAGAGCTAGAGAATAGAGAGCACAAGCAGGGGGAACCATGAGGGAGGGAGAAGCAGGCTCTCCCACTGAGCAGGGAGCCTGACGCGGGGCTGGACCCCAGGACCCTGGGATCATGACCTAAGCACAAGTCAGCCGTTTAACTGAGCCACGCAGGCAACCCCATCCGAACCATTTTTAAGCACACACTTCAATGGTATCAAATACATTCTGTAATACTGGGCAACCATCACCACCATTTATCTCCATAATTCTTTTCTTCTTGTAAAACTGAAATTCTGTATCCAAACTCCCTATTTACCCCTTTCCCCAGCCCCTAGCAACCACCATGGGTATATGCTTTTAAAATATAGACCACCTGTTTCCACTTATTCTTCAAAAGGCAAACTAAGCACCTGTGTTAGTATTTCAACACCCTAAAAACCTTTACTACTTGTTAACATCTAGTCCCTTAAAATCCTATGGCAGACCACCTAAAATCCTTAATTCTAGTGTCAACCCGGTTTTAGCTTTTTGTATACAGTTGCAAAGAGGTATAGCTGTCAGCTGTGATGTTCATTCACAGATGGTTACCTTTCACTTCCCTAAATCTTTTTGTACAATCTTGTTTTTATGGAAACCAAACTTTTATTTTGCTTTAAAATATTTTATTGGAATCTTTTGATAAAAACAGTATTTATGTTAAATAAGTCTAATTGGTCTAAAAATACTTAAGCATCTCAAAATTTCTGGGCAGTTTCTTTCCTCCAGTAAGTTGACAGCTGCTCACACAGGTTAATGCAGGAAAACTAGATGGAAGCTCCTGGGATCTGCCCAACACCAGATGGGAGATATCCTCTGCGTTAACAAAACCCTGAAATTTCATAAAAAGAACATGTATGAGAACCATGCAGGCAACTGGAATTAAAACGTGAACCTGGGCGGGTAGGGAAGACATGAGTAAATCAGTGATTTTCAAAGATCCTCAGAAAAATGCTCATGGTCCAAAAAGGTGATCATTACCACTTGAGGGCTGCGAGAGAAAAGGGCACTCACCATAGTAGCCAGGGAGAAAGGACGCAGCTCTTCACTTCTCATCACAGCCTGTAGGTTCAAGTGGCAGGAGCCATTACCTATAGGCATCACAGACATCTCTCCACAGCATTTCTCCCAGAGGGCGAATTCCAAACTTCAGCCCTTCAGCTACCAGATCGGTGTCTCATCTGAAAGGGCACCACCCTAGCTAGGCTTCCAGAATAATCATGCTAGAAAGATGAAAACAGGACAACCAATGAGAAGGACAAGCAAAGTTAAGCTCCCTCCCCACAATGGCCCTTTCTGAGACTCAAGTATCCAGTTCTCCAAATGAGTCAGAATTAATTTTTGACATCAAGACCAGCATCAGAGACTCTAGTCTGAGAAATCATCATTCCCAATTTAAGAGACCTGGATCAGGGGAGGCCATTCTGTGAAGGGATGTAATACACTGAAAGGCAACTGACCCAGTATAAGGATGTCGCAAATGAAGAGATGGAAGTGGAAGAGAGTAAAGTCGGGGGAAAAAAATCCCCTCAGAACTGCAAAAAAATACCTCCACAGGGAAGCCCAGCAGGTAGGGGTGTACAGAAGAAGTAGGTTTAACCAGGCTTGGACAAAAACATGGGGAGTTAGAAATGGTTTTTTTTTTTTTTTTAAAGATTTTATTTATTTGAGACAGAGAATGAGAGAGACAGAGAGCACATGAGAGGGGGAGGGTCAGAGGGAGAAGCAGGCTCCCTGCCGAGCAGGGAGATCGATCCCGGGACTCCAGGATCATGACCTGAGCCGAAGGCAGTCACTTAACCAACTGAGCCACCCAGGCGCCCCAGAAATGATTTTTTTAATAGTCACAAAAGAAATGTAAACCAAAAAGCAGTCCTTGGAAAATCACCAGGTAATATACTTGCATTGCTTCGCGTGTTCCTTAGGAACAGACTCCATACTGGCCCCGAGAGAGAGCCTTAAGGACAAGATGGTGAGAAGTACTGAGAACCATCTCACACCTAATACTCACCTTTATCCAACAGTAACACACCTCCGGACTCTTAAGACACCTAACGGATAAATCAAACACAGGGATTCGTGGCTAGTAAAGGTTCTCGGCCATCAAGTTCTCCCCAGCCCAGAGATCAGGAAACCCCAGCCCGGGGGAGGGAGATGTTCAGCGCGCTGCGGTGATGGCGTCAGCGAGACACTCAGAGTCACCTGAGTTCATCATTACCCCCGTCTTCCCCCAGGACCACCGCCAGCCACTCCATCTCGCACAATCCACTCACCCTCAGGGCGCTGCGGACCAGCCTGCGAGGACCAGGGGCCTGGGAAGAAACAGGGAGTCAGCAGATGCCGGGGCGACTCCAGCCGAGTTCCCCCTGCCCTGGGCTGGGTCAGTTCCAAACAGTGGCGTCATGGACGCGTCAGAAACTCTAGTCTGTAATGGTAATTCATCCTGCTCAGCCCAAGATTGCGGCCCCCTCACCCGGCAAGACCCCGAGGTACCTACACGCAGGAAGCCGTGCAAAGACAGCGCAGGACGCTGGGGCCTCCCCCTAGCGTAGGGGAGGGAGCCGCAGGAGCCCCCACAGGCACTGCACCATTCCCACAGCCCGACGCAACCAGACCAGCGCACAAAGGGAGCTACAATGGCGGGGCCCCGGCTATTTATAGCGGCGTGGGTTTGGGGGCCTGACGGGCATGGCTGTCTTCGTCGATGCCGGGCTCGGCCTACGGCCTCTTCCCCTTCGTTCGTCCAAACAAGAATAAACCAAGTGAAAGAGAGGCCAGGGGTGAATGTTTCAAACTCTTCCGGGCAAATATTCGGGCATATTTTGTTAATTTTGAAAAACAAAAGACAGATGACGGTTTCTCGACTGGCCGGGCAGGGCGCATGCGCAGCTGAGCTGTCTTCTTTAGTGGCCTCCCCAGGGCAGGCCAGTCCGCCTCTGGAGATCTGTGGACCTCTCTCGTCCTCACCGGTGCCCGCTTGGGGTCCAGGTCCCTCCGGGAGGCTGTCACCCGCTTCGTCTAGCCAGCGAAATCTGAATTCGCAACCCATTCCAGCCTGCAGACCTGTCAGGCACATCAACTTTAATGCTGTTTTTTTTTTTTTGACAGCTTTAAGATATAAATGACATACAATAAACAATTAAAAAAAAAAAACACACCATTTGAGGGTGCCTGGGTGGCTCAGTCGGTTAAGGGTCTGCCTTCGGCTCAGGTCGTGATCCCAGGGTCCTGGGGTCGAGTCCCGCATCTGACTCCCTGCTCTGTGGGGAGCCTGCTCCCTCTGCCTCCCTCTCTCGCTCTCAATCTGTGCCTCATTAATAAATAAATAAAATATTTATTAAAACACAAAACACACCATTTGAAAAAATACACCATTTGATAACTTTATTTATTTATTTTTTCCAAGTATTTTTATTTATTTTTGTGAGAGAGGGCGCGCAAGCGCGCGCGCAGGGACCAGCGGGGGAGGGGCAGAGGGAGAAGCAGGCTCCCCAGTGAGCAGGAAGCCCCACGCGGGGCTCGATCCCAGGTACTTAAAAAAAAACATTCTATGAAGCGGGGGAAATCGGAGGGGTGAACGAACCATGAGAGACGATGGACTCTGAAAAACAAACTGAGGGTTCTAGAGGGGAGGGG